ATGGAAGATTTCAATTCAGACAAACCACATTTCAAGTGCCCGATAACTACAGATAACTAATGGCTATCATACTGCACAGCACAGCACTAGAGAGTTTTAAGCAGAGAACTGACATCATCTGATTTACACTTTAAGCAGATTCCTCTGAGCCTATATTTTTCATGTGTACAATGAGACTAATAACTTCTGCCTCATAGGGGTTTTGTAGTGTCATCATCACAAATGATAACATACATGAAGTTATTATATATATTTTATATGTATTACATATATACTATAAAGAATAAGATACGTGAAACATAGAGCTCAGACCTTGGCACATAATAAGTAATCAATAAATACTAGTTTTCTTCCCCCTCCTACATAATGATATACTAGAAACAAATTATAGGATTTTAAAATGCCAATCTTTGACTAGAAATTAGAACTAATTTAATAATAATAATTCTGAGCATTTATGAACTACAAACTGTACCATAAAACTGAGTATGCAAAGATGGGCAAAACATGTTATGCTAGCCAGAAGGAATGAAAGATTAGTGGAGGAGAAAAATACTTAAAAGCCCGACATGATAAAAGCTTTAAAAGAGTTAAAAACATATGAAATAAAATCTGAACACTCACCCCTAAGTAATTAAAAATTACATGATCCAATTTACATTACACATAATGTCCACTATTTCCAATGTTTTCCTATAATTTTTGGCCAAGTACTGAATTGGGCGGGTCTGAAAAATGCTGTGTGTGATTATTATAGCTAAGAATTAATAATGCCCCATAAAATAAATCACTGTTAATAGATATCAAGCAACTTAGATATAATTATTTCTATTTACAAGTACAGAAACTATAGATGATTAAAAAACACTAGCTTGATTCAGTATTATATAATATTTATTATATACTATACATCATACATATACACTAATGGAGCCTACAAATGGAACATTCTTAAATTAGGCAGTGCTTGTATGCTCTCTTATAGTACCTAGACAATTGTTCAACCTCAGTTTCCTAACCTAAAATTAATCTAAATTTCAATTTGTAGACAGAATTTTTGAAAAATCACATTAATTTAGCAATACCATATGTATTAAAGTCTTGAAAATGTTTATTATTTTCACCTAGCAGTTCTACTGCTGACAAGCTAGTATACGGAGAAAAGGACTTCTGCACAAGAATGTTAACTGAAACATTATAAATGTGGAAACTCTGGAAGCAACCTAAATGTGCAGCAATCAGGGAATTACTAAATTAACTGTAGCACAGCCATTGTATAAAATATAGCACTAACATTAAATTATGATTACGAAGGCTGAGTAAAATGGGGAAAAGTATATCATATGCTGAGTGGGAAAAAAGCTAGATATTCACAGTTTAATTGAAATATGTTTTTAAAAATTAAATAGAAATATAAGAAAGTAAATATACAATTTACAATTTGTGAATAAGTTAACAAGGATATAGGTGGGCAATGGGATCATGAGTGCCCTTTTCTTTCTCTGGAAAATGTAAAAAATGAGAAGAAAGTAATAAACTTGCATTACTTTTATAATAGCAAAATAAAGGAAATCACTTAAATTTTGGCAATGGACAAACTAAAAGAAAGTAGAAATAGTTTCTTTTTTAAAAATAACATAATGTTGCCACCTGATTCTATAAACTACTATCTAGACATAAAACAGTAACAGTAACTGTTTTGTTCGTTTCTGAGGTAGAGAAAATATGCATAGCAAAAAACCTTCAAGAGGTCCCATGGCCTATGAAATAAACTGCAGACCTTAAGCTACTTACCTACCTTAAGAGAATCTGTATCTTAACATCTCTACCAGTGCTTTTCACATAAATACTCATTTTTTAATATTATTTTTTTAATTAAATAATATTTGGTTATTGTAGAAAATCAGAAAATATATACGCAACATTTTTGAAATTAAAAATCACTTGGTCACTCAGAAATTACCCTGTTAACATTTTACAGTTCTCGTTCTCTATCTCTCTCTCCCGCTCCTGTATGCTCTCATTCAGTCTCACAGCTTTTAATGCTATCTCTGTACTGGTGACTTTCAAATTTCCATCTCTAGATGAGACCTCTCACTAATTCTGGACGTAAATCCAACTGCCTACTCAACATCCTCACTGTGATGTCTAATAGACATCTCAAACTTAACATGTCCCAAACCGAACTGATCTTCACCACCAAATCTGTTCTTTCTGTGACTCTGCCCATCTGTACTAGTTATCTATTAATTTATAGCTGTTGTTAGGAGGCCTCAGTTTCATGCAACATAGATCTTTCCTTAGGGCTACTTCAGTCTCCTCACGACATGGCAGCTGGCTTCCCTCCAAGTGAGTGATCCAAAAAGAGAAAGCAAAGAGGAAGGCACAATGCCTTTTAGGACCTAGTGCTGAAGTCATACATCATTACTTCTACCATAATCTATTCATTGGAAGCAAGTTACTAAATCCAGCCCACATTCAAAGGGAAGGAAATTAAGTTTCTTCTCTTGAAGAAAGAAACATCAGAGAACTTGCAGGCATATTATAAAACTACTATAACATTCCAGTTGATAGTATTAATAATTTCATTCTTCTAGATACTCAGGTCCCTGGAGTCATCCTTGTTTCCTCTATTGCACTCTCAAGCCTCATACAATCTGTCAGGAAATCATACTGGTTCTACTTTCAAAATAGACCTAGAGACTAACCTTTTCCATCTACTTCCAATGCTGTCACCGTACTGCTCCGAAGGACATGTCTCTGTCCTGAATTACTGAAATACCCTCCTGCTTCTACTTTTACCCCATTACAGTATATTCTTCACACAGCAGCCAGTGTAATCCTTTTAAAACTTAAGTGAGATCATGTCACTCCTCTGTTCAAACCCCACATTGGTTCCCTATTCTTTCAGAGTAAAAGTCACAGTCTTTACATGACCTACAAGACCCTACATAATCTGGCCCCGTTACTGCCTCGATCATGTTGCTGAAGCCACCTTAGTCTCCTTGCTATTTACATTTTGACTTTAGCTGTTCTTTTCGCCTAGAATAATCTTTCCTCACATATCCCCTTGGCTAATTCCTTCATCTCTTCCAAGTCTTTGCTCAAATCACACCTTTTCAGTAAGGCCCATCCTGACCACTTTATAAAACAGTATAAACTGTCCAGCCCTCACTCTCATTCCTGATTTCCCTTACCCTGCTCTTTTCCACAGAACTTTTCATCTAACATACTATATAATTTACTGGTTATTGTCTTTACTGTTTATTCTCTGCTTTCCCTTACTAAATACGAGTTCCATGAAAGCAGGAATCTTGATCTGTTTTGTTCATGATGTATCTCAAGTACCTAGGAAAAGCTCAATGAGTATGTGTTAATTAATGAACTTAAAAAACAAATAATTTGAAATATTTTTCAGTGAATAAAAATGTATACGATAAACATATTTCTATATCACTTTTAACAGCTAGGTAGTGTATGACTATATACTACCTAACTATATACTACCATACTATTAATATATACCACCATTCTATATGGCTATACCACAATTTACCTAACCAATTTCCTTTACTTGTACATTTAGCTACTTGCTGGCTTTTCTCTACCATAAATACCACAATGAAAATCTCTTCATGTAAATATTTGTTACATACTTATTTCCTTGGGAAATATTCTAGAGTTGGTGGATCAAAGGATATGTACATTTTTAAGGATAAATATATTATCCTGCTCCTACGAGCAATGCACAAGATACCCATTTCCCCCTATCTTCACTAAGACAGGTTATTAATGAATTTAAAACAGATAAACCTGGGTTCACATCTGGATTCTGCCATTAATAAGCTTAAAACTGCTATATCTATAAAGTGGGGATAATAATAGCACCTACCTCACCAAATTGTCGTGAGGATTAAAGGCGACACTGTATATGTAAAGCATTTTGCACAGTGCTTGCACACAGTAAACACACGATAAAATATTAAGCCTATTGTTTCTACCATTAGGATGACTTGAAAGAAGTCAATTGCAAAGTGCCCCGCGCATTATTACGGGAACACCAACCAATTAGTTACTTATAATAAAGTATTTTTTTAAAGCTCAACCTCTTTCTGGAAGATTACATTTGATCAGTCAGCACTGAATTTAAAATATTCCTAAGTATAGTGTATAAAAGTGGGAGAACAATCATTTTACCACCCTGATCCTTACTTCTGTTTTCTTTTGGACAGTGGGAAACTAAAACAAACATTCCCTGTTGCTAAGATCAGACCAGACCAGAGGAAAGCAGGAAAAAAAACTTTGCCAAGTGAGCTAGCTACAGGTATCTCCTGCTCATTCTAGTCAGCACCTCCTGTGCGTCACTCCTGGGGTAGCAAGGCGGTAAAATAAGGATTCATCTGGAGACTCCAAACGGGGCTGCCGCGTTGGAAAAGCAGAACAACGACAACTTCCTTAAAGCATCGTTGGGAAAAAACGGTGAGAGTCGCAGAGCAGGGTTTGGCTTGCCTTTGACGTGTTCAGACCGCGCCCCGCCCCCCCACGCACAAGCACAAGCACACACACACACTGACGCCCTTTGCAGGCCCTGGCTCTTCCTCTGACCAAGCTGTCTGGTCCGACGACTGGTTCCTACGCGGGTGCCGACCCGGGGTCAGTCAGCAACCAAGCCTCAGCTCATCCCAAATGTCCCGGAGCGGTTTGCTTTGCGAGGTTTCAAATTCAAACCCATACCAAACCCGCAACCCCAAGAGCCTTCACAGACACGCAACACTCGCCCGCGCGCGCGGATCGCCCACCCCGGGCCCCAGTCTTCCTCCGTCCGGCGAGAAGCAGCTGGAACCCGGATGCGGGCCGGCCGCGGGGGCTGGGCAGGGTCCGGGCGGCCCAGGCGCCCCACATCGCCCCCGGCCGTGGCCAAGCCCGGCGCGGGAGGCCTGGGCGCACCCACCCCGCCGCCGCGCACATCCGCGCCCACGCCCGCCCCGCGTAACACCGACCTAGCTCCTCGCACCCCGCCTCCTCGGCCGCCGCCGGCGCCGCCGCCGCTTCCATCTCTCGGGGGTCTCCAGGACGCCGCCCCGGTGCTCGCTCTCCCGCCGCTGCGTGGCCGGCGTCAGGCCGAGGCCTCCCTTGCCCGGCGGGACCCGCGCCCGGTGCCCGCCTCCCGGCCCCGGCGCTCTCCGCACCGCGACGAGGAGCATGCGCAGTGGGCGGCCCCAGTCGGCGGGCGCAGCCTGGGGGGCGGAGGGCCCGGGAGTCAAGCGACGCCGGGCTGGGGCCTGGAGAAGAGCTGGGTGATCCGCCAAGAGAGACGTTTGGGAGGTAACTGGGGCTAGGGGCATAGAGCTGGCAGAGACCCAGGCACAAACTTCCTGGCGGTCTTTAAAGTTCACCGAGAACTTAAATTTGGGGCGTCCGTCTACTTGCAAGGCTTTCGCATTCTGTAAGTCACCTTGGAGAATGCACAGTAGGACGGGATTTGTCCCCTGTCCGTGTTGGGGGTTCTGACTCTTCTTTGGTTACCTGTCTCCCTGTTCCCCTATTGAAAGATGTAGGATACATCGCTCAGGTAGAATTTAATTTAGTCACACAGAGTTTCACTTTGATATTTCAATGCCCTTCAAGATATTTGACGTTAACCGCGGTACTGAAAGGAAATTAAGGTTAAGAGTAATTATACTGAGGTAGTGTCAAATACTCTTAAGCATCATGCATATACGTTATCTTTAATTCTGATGACAACCTGTGAGATATTCTGTTTGTATCCATTTTAAAGATGAAGAACTAAGCCACAAGGAGGTAAGTAACTTGTCCAAGGACAGTTAAGCTAGTAAATGGCGGAGATGGAATTCTATCTGCCGCCAAGGCTGGAGCTCTCAACCAATATGCAAAGCTGGCCTCTCAAGTGGGTACCAATAAATATTTGATGAATCAATGGATGAAGCAAGCTTTTGGTTTGAAAGAAAAATATTTATTTTAATTTTGAACTTGCTTTCATTTTCTTCATTTCATAGTTCTTTAAAGTCAGGACACCAGACATTTTTTATTTTTATCTGTTTCACTTCAGTGGGGTCGTTTTAGGAGAGCTGGGCTTTTTGTTGGGGGCTAGGGGATGTTCTGATTTACAGAGACACTGATGTAACTACATGGTGATGGTGTTAAATTCTTAAAATTCTGAGATTAAAAAAGTACACAGTTACATAATATCTATGTCTTTCCTCCAGTTTCAGCCTTTGTAGGTTTTTACTAGATAACTATCGATAGTGTTGGTTTCCCAAAACCCTTTTTTTCCTTTAAATCAACCTCAATCCCTCACACACATACACATGCAAATCACAAAGGGAGGTTTTATTTGAAGTACCTGCAAATAACAAAGATGTAGGGGAGATTAAAAAGAGAGAGAGAGAGGGAGAGAGAGAGATCTATCCTGGAATATAACTAGAACAATGGTCCCTAACCTGTGTTGGTGTGGGTCACCTAGTTAGAGATCAGCAGGTGAGAAGGTAGGCAGAAGTCATAGCACTCAGGTAATTGTACATAAGCCACTCAATGTAATGAGAACACTTGGGACAGTGTCTTGAAAGAGGAACATTATCCTTTGAATGTTAAAAGGATCGAAAGTCATTGTCCCCTAATCTCGGCTTCAGGGAAAGCAGATCTGGCAACATGAAAAGGGAAAAAAGCCCGACTTGTAGTATGGCCTGGGCTTTTTTGGAGAGGGTTGGGCTGAGTCAGGCAGCTAGACTCAGTGTCTTTACAGAGTGATATGGAGATGAACCAAGTGATAGGGATGATCATAAGATTCAAGAGAATTATTTTTCATGCATCACTACTTGAGAACATATTTACTATAACTTCTGCTCCAAGTCTTAGAAATTAGAAGGAGGCACAAGGTAAAGCTGTGTCAGAATAGAGACATCATAAAGAATCTAACAATTTGAATCCCGACAACTTCTTTCTTCCTTTTCTTTAACTTCTGGGATCATATCTTAATTATTAATACTTCCTTCTTTGCAACTGTACCACTTTGTTCATCTCTCTGCTATAAGATTTCTCTCCTTGTATTATACTTATTCCCCTGTCTGGGTGTTCTGCTATACTTTGAGGCCCTACAGGAGAGAGAGGTTATATCTTATCTGTCTTTGTCTCAACAGGGCCTATCCCAGTGCCCTGCACATACAAGTCATTCAATAAATAGTTGTTGAGAGTTATTGAGCACAGCCTCATAGACAGATGAAAGGAAACATTTAGAAGTCTTTAATTTATTCAAAGACATTTATGAATCACCTTCCCTGTGTTAGGCACTGTGCTAGGTGCAGGGACTATAATGGCAGGCGATGTCGATATGGTCCCAACTACCAGAGAGTTCATAGTCCAGTACAGGAGCATGTGAGAGAAAAGAATGAAAATTACTAAATATATAATTACATTTGCTGGTGAAGAAAATCACAGGGCACTGCCAGGGAACCTACTTTAGATTGGGTAGGCAGGACAGTCTTCTCTGAGGACATTTAAGCTGACATGTTAAGGTGAGAAGGAGTGGAGTTGGCCAGGTGTGTTTAGGGAGCAGCGCATCTCCAGCAATGAGAACAACCTTTCCCAATTTATAGATGGAGAAATGGTTCTGTTTTAGACACCTGTAGAACATTTAGATAGAGTTGTCTATATACAGTAGTTGGATCTCTAAAGTTTCCTCATATGCAAAATAATATTATCATCCTTATAAGTAGTGCAGATTTAATGAGATAAAGTATGTAAAGCATTAGCACATTGCCTAATTCATAGAAAGCATCAAATAAACTGAGCATATTAGCTAGGAAATTTTGTTACTGCAATAGAGAGGCCAACTCAAAATAGATTGAGCCAAAAAGGGAATTTAATGAGCATTTTGAGATCCCCAAGACAGAGATGAGACTGGACTCAGGACAACTGATCCTGATGCCTCTGAGACTCTGTCTCATTCTCTAGTGATTGCTTTTCTCTGTGCATCTGCTGTACGTCTGTGTGGGTTTTTGCTGCAGAATTATTCTGCTTCTTAAGTTTGCCTGGCAGGAATATGTTTCCTAAAAGCTCTCAATTTCTATATCTTATACTTTAGGTGCCCAGAAACATACTGGTCTCTTTTTCTCCATTCTAATCATAAAATTTCTCAGGGAAGAACTGGGATTGAATCACTTAGGATCAGATTCCCAACCCTGGACTAGTCGAGTGAGTGGTGGACAAAGTCATATATTGGGATAGTTCCTAATGGAACTGTGTAGATGACAGTGTGGAGAAGGGAACCGTTCTCAAAAGGAGAGGCTGAGCTGATCAAATCCTAGGTGTTCACTCTACTTTGATTTCCCTCTCTGTAAAATATTACTCATTTTGTATGCTAAGGCTGTTTTACCCCCTTATGTTTTCAATGGAAATAGAAATAAGCTTCTCACCATCTTATAATTAACATCTGCCTTAACGACTTCTCTATTCTGTTAATAAAGCTAAGAAACATGCTGACCAACACTGGTTCTCATAAGAGGTTCTTTGTTGGGATAATTGTTACTGACGGCCTTACTTTTACTACTAATAATTTTGTTTTATTTAACTCTTTATGACTGATTTAACAGATTGAAAAAAACCTGAAAGTGCCTGGAGGAATTAAAAATGGTGCAGAAGCAGAAGTTTAACCTTTAAAAAAAGCCTCTAAAATATTCTGAAATAGATTTTTAGAAAAAACACTGCATGTGTAAAAAAAAAATAGACTTCCATAAAAAAGGAATAATCAGGGAACAGAAAATAGAACAAAAAGACCAGAAAAAGGAAAATAGAAAAATAAGAAAATGAAAAGATTCATCCAGAAGTTCCAATATCTTCATTCAGAAAGATAAGAGATAAAAGACAGAAGGGGGAAAAATCAAAATAATAATAAAACAGAATTTCTCAAAATTGAAGGGCATTTGCTTCCAAATTTGAAGAATCCACTGAATGCCCAATATAGCAAGTGAAAATATGCCTAAGCCAAGATACAGCATTGTAAAAATTTTAGAACACTGAAAATAATAGGAAGAGCCTAAAAGTTTCCTCAGATGAAAAAAATAAAAAGTGTGAGAGGGGATCACATTCACTTGGAGTCACATCTGACTACTCAGTAGTAACACCAAAAGCTAGAGGACAATGGAACATTGTATTCCAACTTCTGAAGGAAAACACACCTAACTTAGAATTCTATACCTAACTAAACTATCAGTCAAATGAAAGAGCAAAATAAACACATTTTAATATACATAAAAGCTTAACATATACTTCCCATGTACTCTTTCTTAGAGAGCACTGGAGGAATGCTCCACCAAAATTAAAGAGTTATCTTAGAAAGAAAGAGATATGGGATTCAGGAAACTAGGAATTCAACGTAAGAGAGGGGAAATTCCAAAGGGATTCCAAGAAGAAGTTCCAGTATCACAGCAGGCCTAGAGATCAACCAGTCCAAACTGGGGCAGGAAGACAGAAGGCACCAGGAAGGGATATCTCCAGGAACAAAAGAGATGGTGAAACTGATCAATAATCTGAAAAGTGTGTAAAATTGGACAAAGAGATGGTTTTTAAAGTCTTAGAAGACTTGGCCACAGATGTGAAGAAAGTCAAGCAGATGGGAGGAAAAAAGGCAAGTAATTCCAGTTAAAGAGATAGTGATAAAAGAAATGTAAGTATAGTACACCATTTGCCTTTAATGACACAAATAGATATGAAGTGAAGTGATAGAAAAATATATTCCATGCAGATGGAAAGCAAAAGAAAGCAAGGATAGCTACACTAATATCAGACAAAATAGACTTTAAGTCAAAAACTGTAAAAAGAAACAAAGCAGATCATTATATAATGATAAAGGGGTCAATTCATTAAGAGGATACAACAATTATAAATATGTATGCACCCGAGATTGGAGCACCTAAATACATATAGCACATAATAGATCCAAAAGAAGAAATAGACAGCAATACAATAAATAACATGGGACTTCAATACCCTTCTTTCAACAATGGATAGATAACCAGACGTAAAATCAATAAGGAAACATTGGACTTGAACTACACCTTAGACCAAATGGACCTAACAGACATATACAAAACATTTCTTCCAACAACAGCAGAATAAACATTCTTTTTTTTTTTT